GGGGCAGAGGAATCGAACTTGGGTTGGCCATGTTGGCTGCTTGTAAGGCAAATGCCCTACCGCTGTGCTATCGCAGCCTCCTAACTTGATTGCTGTATCGACACTATAACACCTATGAGATTGGTTCTGTACTCCCAGGCCAGAGATTCTGCCAAGGACTTCTGAGAAGTTAAGAAACCTGTTCAAAGTCACACAGCTACTCAAGTTAAAGTCCAGGACTGTAAGATTTCCAAATCCATTCAATGAGTTTCTGACTAAGGACTTTTTTTGAGGGGTAAGGCAAGGATCTTGTTCGTTTTTTTTCTTTTCTTTTTCTTTTTTTTTGGGGGGGGGGTGGGGAGCTTGCTTTATTATTAATTTTTCTTTCCTTGGAACAGAAGGGGATCGTGGGAAGTTGCCTCCACTGTGAAATTCAGGGCGGCAACTCAGAGGCTAAAAGAATTTAATCCAGAGCACCCTTGTTTGTTGAGAGAACTCTGCGGCTAATAGCAACACTGTGCTTTCTCAAGAGGAGAGGGAAGACCTGGGCCGGCCAAATCCACTGACAAGTCACGCACTTTCTGGGGACAACTGCACCCACTTTGGAAAAGAAATTAGATCAAAACTTCACATAGGACTCCTCAGGGGAACATGGAGGAACTGCTAACTGGCCTGATGTCTGCTTCCCCTCGACTGTTGGCTAATCCTGCTGTAGCTGGCACATGTGCATCCAGGTGTAGGCAGCAATGGAATCATTCAAGTGCAGGAAACACACAGCTCCCAGGATTCTTAGGTTCCCAGTGCCTGTGCAACCACCTTGGCTTCACCTTAACTGTTTCAAAAAAAAAAATACACTTTCTGCTTCCATCACCCCAGGCAGTTATCTGTGCCCGAGTGTAGGGTGGGAATTGCAGGGGAGGGGAGGGCAGCAGAGGCAACGAGGGGCCTTCATGCTGCCAAACTTCTCCACAGTGCCCCCCAGTAGCACGTAGGTACAACTTTCAAATCGTTTTAGCATCCGCCAGGATGGGAAGTTGAGTGGTGCTATCTCCTAGGTCCTGGAAAAAAAGAAAACAAATGACAAAATATTAACATTCCCAGCTAAAGAGGCTCTGTCGATGGGAGAAGAAACCAACTTTGTCTTTGCCACCTGCCATCCCAGAGCGAAGAATCCTAGGAATCCGCTGGGCCCCAGGGATCTCATTTCCTGGGTTCTTCATCACCATCACCTCCAACGACTGAGCAAATTCCCACTCCACCCCCGCCCCTGCAGACACCGAGATTGACATGTTTTTAGCTAAGGTGAACGAGCCTTCTTCCTTCCAACGTTTCTCTTGCGCTCCTGTTCGGTATTTCAACCACAGAGTGGTGCTATTGCAAAAGATAAGGTGGGCAGAAGGCGCGCTCGAGAAATGGGCTTTTCAGGGAGAGAGTTTCCGAGGGGGGCTTTCACACTCTCCTGCGGATTCCAGTTCTCGCTGTTAGGAGTCAGGGCCTGACACGCAGAGGCAGCAGGAAGAAAAAAAAAAAAGAAAAAGTTCAGTAGCCTAAAAATACAATCAACAGATGGACCGCCAAGCCGGGACCACGGAATCGACGGAGAGGTGAGATGACTCGCTAATCAAAACAGACCTCACTGGGGAAGAACTTCCCTCCAGCCCCCTCCTCTGCCCCCCACCCCTCACCCCACCCCCCCACACCGTCTAGGGCACGAATTCTTAGCAGACTTCTCCGTTCCGGTGGCTCTCGGACAGACCACTCCGTTTTGTCTCGGATGATTGCTAGGGACTAAGAGAGGAGAAAGAAGGGTGTTAGTTGGAAGTCACAAAGTTCCACTGTCCCAAAGTGATTCTGCGTTCTGTAAAAGATTCCCTTTATTCTAGCTTATAAAAATATATCTTTCTACTCTTGGTTTATTTCCTTCCTGGCCACCTTCTACTCTAATGGCCTTCTTGCTCTCTCAGAAAGCAAAGGGACGAGCAGGGAAGGGTGTTCCTGGGTCCTTTTTAGAAGAGAGAACGTTGTTTTTTGTTTTTTATTTTTATTTTATTATTGATTTATTTTATTTTATTTTGTTTTTGGCGCTCTTAAAGCTGCAGGACAGTGGTGCTGAAACCTGCAGGTTGCTTGAGGGAGAAAATGCCTACCAGAGGGAGAAAAGGGCAAATGTCACCCTCTGCTCCTAGCCACCTCACCCTGCCTTGGGCTTTCCCTCAACCCCTCCCTTCCTCCCCCTCCCAAAGGCACCGCACATATTTGGCAAGATTAAGGTGCTACCGCTCGAATTACAAGATTTGCTGATTGCACGCAAAGACTAACCCACCAGTTCAGGACAAAACCCCCCCGGAGTTGGGAAACCCTGCAAAAACTCACCCTGCCGGGTCCTGCAAGGTCCTGGACAAAGTCCCCAGAGTCAGTGAAGAGTCAAGAGACTTTGGCAGAGCTGCCCCCACGGGGTTTGAAGCCCCTCAGTCACTCCCTTTCCTTTCTTCTCGTATTGTTTTTCCTTCTGATTTTTCAGATTGAAGTTTGCCCCCTCCTTCCTTCAGTCTCTTCCCTCCCCGGTTGCCAGTAACCGACTTGCTGCAGGCAGGCCGGCGGCCTTGCACATGTTTTTAACCTCTGCCTCGCTGCAGCCGAGCCCACCGCGCCTTTGAAAGCTGCCATCCTCGGGTTCCTGGAGGACCCGACGCTCCAGGAAAGCGCCCTCGGAGCGGGGGGCCAGTGGAGTTCTGAGACGGGGGCCTCATCCCTCCTTGGACGGCGGAGGGAGGCAAGTGGGGGGAGAGGGGGAGGGCGGGGAGGCGGGCCCGCGGGGAGAGAGAAAAGACGAACTCCCAATCCCGAGCACGCCCAATCCAAACCTTCCCGGTGCCCTGTGGCCTGGCCGTGGGGACCACTCGGCAGCCTGCTCGGGGCCGGAGCGGGACCTCGACTCTCGGGAGCGAGGGGAGGCACGGAAGGAGGACCCCCATCTCTCCGGGGACCGCAGGAGGTGCCGCGCCTGGGCCTCCGTGGACGCGGTTTATTCGATGTGGCAGCCCACAGCCAGGATAATGATGAGGCAGGTACAATCTATCTGGTACGCAGCCCCCCACCCCTACCCCCACCCCCGCCTCTCACGCCTACCCGCTTCCCCCCACCCCACCCCATCCCATCCTTTCTCCAGCCCCGCAGTTTCACACTTCGTGGGGCGCGCGATGCTGTCGCTTCTCCCCGGCGGGGACCAGATTCTCCAGGCAAAGGCGCCGGCGGCGTCTGTCTGTGCGGCCAAGGCCCTCGCCCCAGGCGACCCCGGGGCCCATTAGCCACCTGGAATTGTGCAGGGTCTGGCAAGGGGCGGGGGGCGACGCGATCAGGGCTCCGCTCCCCCAACTCCGCCCGAGCTCAAAGGCCCCGGCGGCGGGGCGAGAGGGTTCGAGGTGGCTGGAACTGCAGGGATGAAACGCGGGAGGCTGGGAGAGTTGAGGTTGGCCTCGCCACCACCTCCACTTCCCGGGGAAGGGGCGCGAAAACTAAGCTCCCAGGCTCGGAGGTTTCTCTTAAAAGCTCCAGTGCCGCCCCTACCCCCGACTCCCCACATCCCCCACTCTGTTCCGTGGCAATTGAACAAAGGCTAGGTGACTTAACGCGGTAAATGTCGAGAGAGAGAGAGAGAGACCGGGAAGTTGAACAAGTGAGGTTTAACCGGCAGCTAAAAGGATCGCGAAATCAGAGGGGTTTGGCCCCAGACCCGGCTTCCATCCTCCCTACCCCCCTTTCTCCTCGCCCCTTTTGGCTGGAATTAACCACCTGGTTGAGAAGGGAGTTGGACTTTCCCGGCCCTGCGAGGAGGTTGGTTTGTCTGGTTGGGTCAGGTCAAGGCGTTCCCGCGCTGTCCCGCGTGCAGACTCGGGCGCTGGGCTGGGGTGCTGGGGAGGGGTGGGCGGCAGCAAAGCCCGATTCCCAGTTTGGAAGGAGAAGCTTGGGGCTGGGTGAAATGGGAGAGTCGGGGTCACCCCCCTCCGCTTGCCACGCACTCAACACACAAGCACCCAACACGCGCGCGCGGGCGCGCGCGCGCGCGCACACATACACACACACACACACACACACACACACACACACACACACACAGAACCTCCCCCCTTCCAGAGGCTCCCCGGACCCTCCTCCACTCTGTACCTCCGCTCTCCTCTCCTCGGCCCGCTTTGCGCCCTGGGTTCTGGTCCCGCCAAGGGAGCGGCGGCGAGCTGGCTGGGGAAGGATTGTCCTCGGGCGTGTTCGGGTTGGGGGGAAGGAGGGACGGGTGGGCTCGGTAGGGGGTGGGGAAAGATCTGGAGCTGGAAGGGTCTAAGGTTTGGAGGAGGAGTTTACACATTAGACCCAATCCGCCAGAGGAAAAGGGGCAAGAAAAGGTCCCGGAGACGCGTAAAGAGAATCCCCAATCCAAAGAAAAGCCCAAGATCCATAGTCGTTTCTGCGAGAAAAAGAACAAATCCGACAGGCGACCGCCAGGAACATAGAAAATGGAATGAAAAGTTGAATATTTCGTTGTTGTTCTTATTTCCCCCCCCCCCCCCCATCTTGGCTCGCTCTATAAAGAAAATCAAAGGGGGGGGGCGGGTGGTGGAGACTGCAGAAGACTACTGATCTGGAACGTTCCGTGGGTTTTGTCTTATTTAATTTATTATTATTATTATTATTATTTTACCAAGGGGCTAAGAAGGAATGAGTCCAAGTCCCCGCCACAGCCCCGCTCCAGACCCAACTGGGAGAGTCGCAGGGCTGCGGGGGCGCAGGCCTGCGCGGGGGCGGACCGTGCGGCGCGCAAGGGGTTAAGGCGCTGAGCGCGGAGCCATCTGGCCGGGTTGGCTGGTTATAACCGCGCAGATTATGTTCACGGGACTCAGAGTTGAAGGCTCCACTCCCAGCCCAGCAGCTCCGCGCACGGCGCAGTGACTTTCTCCCCTGGCCTTTCTCCTTCTCCATTTTAGCCCCCGGCTGGGTGTCGCGGTGGTGGCGGCGGCGGCGGCGGCGGGGTGGGGTGGAGGGGGGCCACTTTGAATGACCGAGCTCGCGTGCACCTTTCTCTTCATGTCGACGTCCCTGGAATCGCTCACACGGATGCCATGGTTACTTCGGCCACGGTAAGGGGAGGCGAGCACGTTGGGTGGGCAGATTTCAGGGGCGCAGGAGGAGGAGGAGGAGGAGGAGGCGCGGGCAGCGCGGGTGGACGGACTTTGCCGGGAACGAGTGCCCAGAGCGCCCCCCAAACTCCGCACCCTGCCCCCCACCCGCCTTTGCGCCGCGCTCTCATTCACTTTCCCCCCCCACCCCCCCCCCCCACCCCAACGGCTGGTGCTTTCGCCGAAGTTTGCGCCGGGCTCAGGCCAGGCCGGGTGCGCGATCACAACACCCCCTGCACACGCGCCCGCGCACACATGCACACACACACACACGCGCGCGCGCGCACACACACACACACGCACACACACACACACACACACACACACACACACACACACACTCGCTTGCATCCACACGTTCCTCCCCACCTCCTTGCTCTTGTCCCTCGACTGCCCCAGAAGCCTCCCAGGATCTGGGAAAGTGATCAGGTTTAAGAGACCTGGATTGGAAATGGGGGGCGGGGGGGGGGCGGAGGCGAGGGGAAATGGGGACGACGGAAGGGCAGGAGGAAAAGGGATTCTGCAGAGCCGCCACCCTTCCCCCCACGCCACCCCTCTCTCTACACACCCGTCCGGGCTGCTCGTCGGGAGTAAGCTCCCCGCGCATCCTGTAACAAAAGCGGCTGGCGGACAGACCTCGGGCGGTGGAGAGGCCGGGGTACGCCTGGGCTTCCAGACACCGCTCCCTGCGCCCCGTTCCCCGTTCTCCCCGCGCCTCTTTCGGGCCTGTCCCGGGCACGGGCTGCTGGGGGAGGGGACTCAGAGCCTAGGTTCTATCTGGACTGTGGTTTCCCAGTTTGGAAAGTCTTGTTGGTGGGTGGGGGGCGCGCAGGAGGGAGGGGGGTCTGTCTCCTCGCCAGAACCTGCCAGCGTACCTGCTTTGCAATCCCCCAGCCACTGCTGGAAGCTTATTTATTTTATTTTTAATTCCTTGCCAACCACCCCGCACCCGGTCTGGCTCCACCAGGCCAGCGCCCACTCCCGTGGCCGTCCCACCCGAGGTCTCTGCCGCAGATGGGGGAGCACCGCGCGCTGGGCGCGCATCTGGAAGCCCACCGGAGGAGCTGCGGGGGCACCCGCGCGCGCGCGCGTGCGCGCGCGAGCCGTCCCCAGGGAATTCCTCGCGGGTTCCTTGGAGCCAGCTCTAGGAATTTGAGGCGGAGGTGTGGGAAGGCGGGGGCACCCCGAGGACTCGTAGACTTTCGATCAGAGAGAAAAGTTCCACGAGGGACTCACTTGCGCCACTGCCCCGGGACTGTCCTCAAAACTACTCAAGAACTACGGGACGCTTGGGAGTTAAAGGTTCGAGAAAGGAGGGGGCTGAATGGGGGAGGGGACTCTGCGTGTAGTTTTGGGGTGCGCGGGGCGGAGAGGCGCTGCTGCTGTGAGAAGAAGGGGCTGCCTGCCTCATCTGTACTTCAGATGCCCCAACCAACCGAGTTCCCAGCTCCAAAAGGGGTGGGGGCTGCCGCTGACTCTTCGGATTTGCGATGGGGTGAGGGGCGCAGGAGATCCAGGTGGAGCAACCCAGGAACCAGACTCCACATCTGGATGTTCCGGCTTCGGGTTGTAGGTTCCAAATCTGCAGGCAGCTTCCGGGACCAGAGCGCTGGACGCAGAGCTAAGAGCTCGGATCCCCACGCGCTGTGTGGACTTACTAAGATGTGTGCAAAGCAGGGGCGACATCAAAGAAGGGTGGGGGGGCACTCCCCCAGAATTAAAATCTGATGTTTGTGGTTTAACCAAGGACAGAATGTGCTGGGGGTTGGGGAGTGGGCTTTTAAAAAAAATTCGAGGGCTACCCTCCCTTAGCCAGCAAAAAAAAAAAAAAAAAAAAAAAAAAGAGCAAAAGAGAAACACGTCAATCCTTTACCCTAAATGTCAAGCTGGGAGAAATACAGGGAACTTTGAGCTCCCTTCCTTTTTCATCACACACAGCGACTCTCCAACACACTCAATCCCCACCCCCACCCCCGACCCCACCCCCCAATTCCTTTCTGACACGTTGTACAAAGAAAACTGAGAGGTAGAACTCAGAGGATAAAATTCTCTGTGCCACAGGCTGCCTTGGGGGCTCAAACCTGAGTAGAAGGAGAGGAAGCCCGCTCAGAAAAACAGGGTGAGAGGACCCAAGAAACTCCTTGGGGAGAGGGTGGAGACAGGATGGCAGCTGGATGTGGAGGACTTGGCTCCTCCTGGGACCCAGGGTCTGTCCCGCCTGTGGAGTGAGATCCTGCCCCTTTCCCTTTTGGTCAGGGAAGGATAGGGAGGCTTGAGAAAAATGCACCCCAAGACGTGCATGGGGTGGTCAGAGAGAGAGAGAGAGAGAGAGAGAGAGAGAGAGAGAGAGTGTGTGTGTGTGTGTGTGTGGTGGTGATGGAGGGGCGGATTTCTGCATCTGTGTTTCGGGGGAACCTAGGTGTAGCTATTAAGAAATCAGCGCCAGCCAGGGATCAGACCAGTGTCGGGAGTCAGAGAGGCAGGAGGAGAGAGAGGGGCTGTGTGTTCAAGACAGATGGCTCCTGCATGCCTGCACAGACACCAGGAGGGGGTGGGGCGTAGGAGGGCGGTGGGGGCGGAGGAGTAAAAGGTGTAGTGTGGAGGGTTGCAGCCTTGAGATTATCAACAGGGTGTGGGGCGTGTGTACGCATGTGTGCGTGTGCATGGGGGGGAGCGCGGGGGTATCTCTGCTGAGCAGAGTGTGAACTTTATGAGCATGAGCTGGGAAATTGGACTGGAGTGGCATTGGGGTCTGCAGGGATTAGAGAAGCATTTGCAGAGAAGGATGCTGGGTTCCTCTTCCCTACCACCCCAGAGAGGAGGGAATTGGAGAAGGTTTCAGAATGAGGGATGGATATTGAAGGGGGAAAAGTCCTTGGGTATTGGCACTGGATGGGGATCAGGGAGGGTACAGGCATAGAGGAGTGAGTGGGGGGATAGGGTTTGGGTGTTAAGTGCATCTTGTATTCTGTCCTATAAAAGACATGGTAGTAGGGAGGTGCATTATAAAAAGTTTCTTATTTGATGGAGGAATTCGCTGCCATCGATTCCTATTGATGATCAGCTAAGATGTCTGGAATGCCTGCTGTATGTTCAGACCATGGCTGGCTGGGGAACTGGTCATGGTGGCATAGGGCCCTGACAGTAGTCCTTCCTTCCCTGCTCAGCTCACACTGCCACAGATTTTGCCAGGAGAAATGACTAGCTCTCCAGGCTAGTTGAGGTTTCTTTGAGGACTATAATTCAGTTTCTAGAGATGTGTATGACACTGGGGGGCCAAAGGGGGAGCTGACTTGAAATATATCTGTGGTTTTGTAAAGAGGGGCATAAAGATAGGGAATGATGTAGAGGGTTGTGTGTTGGGAAGAAGCCGAAGGTGTTACTGTTCACAGAGGGAGTCTGAGTGTGGATCTGGGGATGTGTGTTGTGTGTGCTATAATTCAGACCCAACTGCAGGTCTATCTGGGGACTGAGCTTAACTGATTGTGTTCTGTGTCACCTCACTAGATGAATGGAGGAGGGTGGAGAACAGCCAGGGAAGATGCTGGTTGGAAGCCTTCATTATTGATGTCTTCTAAGCTCTCAGTATAAAGCATGCTCTGTATATACATATGTGTGCATGTGGGTGTGTGGGTGTGTGGGTGTGCATGCATGCACACACACACGCACCCATAAACTGGAGAAAGTCAGCAGGGAGGGTGGAAGTGAGTGTTTACTGGCTCTTGTGAAGGCTGGCTCTTTATTTTTTTGCAGGAACTCCATGTCTTGATGCTCAAATGTGCATCTTAAATAGAAAAGATATAGGGTGGGGGAGAGAGGTGGTATCCACTGGGTTGATATTGTGAGAGAGATTCCGTGAGGTGACCTGACCCAGGAGGGAAGCAGGGTGCTCTTGGTGGTAGGGAGGTACATTAATTGGGTTAGGATTGTTTCGGGCATTTTGTTCAACTGGAGGAATTTTTTTTTAATCTATGAAATTGTAACTGTGCTAGTTGGAAGTTCTCCTTTATTTTCTGGGCTTTGCATTTCTGAGTGTGGTGCAGTGGCCTGGAAGAGTTTAATCCTGCCAGGGAATATTTTGATTCTATTTTCCATTTTGGAACAGCATGGTTTGAGAAAGTTCTCTAACCTTGCTCGTCTTCCGAATCTTTTTCTGTCAAATGGCAGTTCCTGTAAGAACCCCGCAAGGAGGAAAGTTCACTCTGCTTTTCCCCAACATTCGATGTGTTCAGGGATATGAAATTATGCTTGTAAATACAACCTCATGGCCTGCAGGCATCTGGACCTCTGTAAAGATGGGTGCAGGGGTTAAGTCACTTACCTTGCATGCAACTGACCCAGTTTCAACCCCTGAACTTTATGGTCCTTAGAGCACAGAGCTGAGAGTGTCCCTGAGCTCTGTGGCATGTCCCAACCCCTCACAAAATGATGGAACTTATGTCAATTCCCCTGAATAGTGGCAAATTAGTAAAAATAATCTTGTTTTGGGGGCCACAGCAATAGTAGAGCAGGTAATGCATGGCCGACCTGGGTTTGATCCCGGCACCACATCTGGTCTCCTAAGCCTGCCAGGAGTGACTCCTGAGTGCAAGCCAATAGTTAGCCCTGAGCACCATTGGATGTGGCCCAAAACACAAATAATAATGTAGTAATAATTATAGCAACAATAATAATAACCTTGATATCCACAGTTCGTTTACTTCTCCCCCACTGAGCAAATAGAACTTTTTGTTATGACCTCAGTTTATTTTTCCCTAAAATGGAACTAGCCAAATGTGTTATAGTTGATGGAAATCTATATCCATAGATTTTGTGAGCTGTTCAGAATAAAGGAGGTCCCAAGCATCAATGTTATTCATGATCCGAGGCAGATATTTTCTTACTCTCTAACATTAACTCTGTGGAACACAAGGCCAGAGAAGACACCTTTTTCCTGGACATCTCTGTCTCCCCCATCTAAA